TTTTGAACAAGCATATGACTCCATAAATCGAACGAAATATCAGAAAAGCTTATAAGGCTAGTGAGAATGAGGCTTAGGAACACGATAAATAGGATAACAATGGAAGGAAGCATTTCACAGTTTAAAACAAGTTTTTAAAATATTTAGAAAAAGTTTTTTAGAATTTTTAAGCAGAAGCGAAAGGATAGGGATTAGTAATAAACCAAACAACCAAAGACATGACAAATATATCAAAATGAAAGGAACAGAGACTGTCTATAGTTTTAAAAAAGTGTCAGAATTACTACATAGGATATGAATACTTAGGACTAACCATAATAAACAAGGGAAAAGAAGAAAAAGAGATAGACAAAAGATTAATGAAGGGAAGCAGAGCGAAAGTGTCACTAAATGTATTACTGAAAGCAAAAAATATGAAAAGAACTGCTAAACTGCAAGTCTACGAGATAGTAATCAGACCTACAGCGATGTATACCAGTTAAACGTCGATTACGAACCAGCAGGAAGAAAAGAAAGTAGAGATCTGGGAAAGAAAGGTGCTCAGAAAAATCTTAGAAGGAATAAACACGGCAGAGAACAGTTGAAAAAGACGAACAAATAAATAATGAGGATGTATCAAAATGTTAAAACAATACTGAAGGAGGAATGAATGGGGAAAAAAGAAGAGGACGTCCAAACAAGAAATGAAGAAGCGTGAGAAATTGGAGAGAGAAAGCAAGGGACCGAAAAAAAAGGCCTGTAGCGCTGACCTATATATATATATATATATATATATATAATATATATATATATATATATATATATACCCATTAAACCACATATATCTTAATCAAATGTGGCCTTTGAATACATACAGTGTGTGTGTTTTATTCCTGTTTCGTAGAAAATATTACCTATTAATATTTTTTACTCATATTGACTGATAATGTACTATTGGTTAAAAACTTATTTAAATAATTTCATCCGTTTTCAATAAAAAATGCAATTTTACAGTTCATAGTACCAGAAGAGCACTTCCAACTACAGCGCAATCTCAATTTATTGAAACTGAAGTAAATTAGAAATATTCATTATACCAAGTAATTTGTTACAATGAGGTTTGCAATATAGAGGTAAGGTTGGTCTATGATTGGTTTTAACAAGGTAAACTAAAATGTTTATAATATTGTTTACACGCAACCCTATTCTGGTTTATCTAAAATTTTCAAATTGTAGCCATGCACTTGCTGGAATGCTGAACTTTTTGACAATGTATATTTTTTTTGTTATAGAATGCCGAGAAGCTATAAACAATGAAGAAAAGTCTTAAAAGATATCTGAGAGTTGCTGTGATTCCTTCATGGAGTACAATGGGTTTATCATGCAGATGTCTAGTTATAGTATGTACGGTGTTATCAATCAGCAATTGACAATAGGCTAAGGTGTCCATTCTTAGTTTTTTCAGTATCGAGGCGAGCAAATACTGGCTTCTTGTTAGAAGCCACTTTCTTGAACAACTTGTCTTTTCCCTCTTCATTCCCCTTTCCTCAGGCGTTGTAGTTGTATTAGTTGAAAAATAAAAAAAGCAGCCGGGTTTCTTCCATAATCAAAAAAAACGTCTCCCAAAAATATTCATTAAACAAACTTTACATAACGCAATATTCTGATTTGAACGGAGATAGAAACGATAGTGAAAATACGTAGTGAGTTTATGTTACGGTTAAAACGCAAATATCGGATAATACTAGAATTACCAAAGGAGAATTAGAATTATTCAAACGAAGTGGATAAAGCTACATATTTCTGAATATTTCGCTGTATTCCCATTGACCGGTAATACTATTATGCTGTTCAAAAAAATTAATGTTTCTAATTTGGAGTAAAAATGAATATGACTTTTATCGCGTAGTTAATCATATCAAGTGCTCAATGCTTAGATATATTTTTTGTACAATAATTCTGTAATAGATTTTTAAAGAAGAAAAGGAAAGCAAATAAAATTTAAACGTTATTAATATTATTTATACCAAAGTTAAGTTTAAAATATACTGCATAATCTATTTGGCATTGGATATATCTAGAATAACCTGGATAAATCAAGAAGTTATCAATGTCCCTTGCCTTTTATCTAGCCAGTTCGGATAATATATTATATTAAAGTATATAAGTAGATAGATAAGTATCCAAGTACAACTAGTTTTACTCAATTTCGGGGTTTACACGTATATATACAGTCGTAGAAGGTAGCAAAACACCAATACTTTGCATCTCATGTAACGTTGACCAGACAATGCCAGTTACTTAAGAAAAAACTTTGTGGTGGTTTTTAGTTGATAAACAGCTAAACCTTCTGGCTGAGTGAAATCCAAAGTATGTGGATTTCTTTCTCGGGCGTCTTTAGAAAATATTCTCTATAAAAAATAAATTATTCATATTGCCTAGTTGTTCCACCATCTTTAAAATTTGTTTTATCTTACTTTAACTTTTGAGAATCATTAAAGATTCTTCTTCTCCTTATTTTTATGTTATGCCTTTCTTGTATCCTATCTTGCTATTTGGTCAAGTCTCTTAATATCCATTCATGTAATATGTTAGTTCCATTTCCGTCTTCGCTATCTAGAACATCGTATAATACTCGGTTTTTACCAGAAATCTCTTATTTGGTTATTTAGTACTGTGTGTACGTATGTTTTTCTAAAATAGTAGAAAACCCTACTAGAGACATAGAAAAACAGTGGAACGAACTGAAGACATTTATTACCACAATTTCGCATGAATATCTAAAATCAAAAAGAGAAAAGAAGCAAGAATGGGCGAAGAAGAGCGACGAAAATTAAAAGGTAAAAATGACAACAAATACAAAAAGTTGCATAAGACTATACTAGGAGACTAAGAAGATAAAATGAGCAAAAGAAGCATGGCTAACGGAAAAATGTATGGAAGTTAAAGCACTACAACGCAAACATGACGATTTCCATATGCACAAAAAAATTAAAGAGGTACAGAATACCAAAAAACAACGCAATACAGGCATGGTTGTAGACATTGAAGGCCAAATTTTGACTGTTATTGAAGATAAATTACGAAGATGGAAAGAATATATGCAAGAATTATTCGAAGATTTAGCGCGAAGTCCGACCGAAATAAACAACCCTTACGGCCCAGAAATAACAAACGAAGAAGTAACTATGGCCATTAAGCGGATTAAAGATGAAAAATCACCAGGACATGATGAGGTGCATGGTGAAATTTTAAAGCTATTAGAATCACACCAAATCACCGCTCTAACGAAGCTATTTAACAACATCTACGAGACTGGTTACTTACCAAAAAGACTGGCTACTATCAATATTCATTCCACTTCCTAAAAAAGCCAACGCTAGAAAATGTGAAGAACATCGATTATTTAGTTTGATGAGCCATATACTTAAAGTACTTCTTACTATCATTCACTCGCGCATATACACCAAATTAGAAGAACAATTGAATAAAGTAATTTGGATTCAGAGCAGGACTCTGAACGAGAGAAGCACTTTTTAGTTTGCAAGTTCTAATACAGAGAGCCAGGGATGTCAACTGCGATGTGTAGGCATTTAATAAAGTCCCACTTGAAAAACTAATCGATATCTTAAAAACGTCAGGACTCGATGGTAAGGATATAAGACTGATCTCAAACTTATATCTCCAACAAAAAGCAACAGTACGATTAGAAAATGAACTGTCCGATATATTCACAGTCGAAAAAGGAGTTAGACAGGGTTGCATATTGTCACCGGCATTATTTAGCATATACTCTGAAAACATCTTTAGAGAGGCCTTGGAGGAATGGAGGAAGATGGGATTGCTGTAAATGGCCAACTTACAAACAACAATAAATATGCAGACGATAGGTACAGTGTTGCTGGCAGATAGTGCTGTAATATTAAAGTTACTTGGGATCACAGCTACGAAATAAAAACTAGTATTGAAAAAGCCAGAAGCCCTTTCAACAGCCTTAGGAAAATTCTCTGCCACTTATCTTTAAGTATCAATATACACATAAGAATTTTGAGATGTTGCGTCTTTAGTGTCCTCCTATATGGAGTAGAAAGCTGGAGCCTTACAGAAGATGCCATAAAACGATTGGAGGCATTTGAAATGTGGTGCTACCGACGTATGTTGAGGGTCTCATATATACACCACAAAAGTAACATAACTATTCTCCAGAGGCTAAGAAAAGACAAAGAAATTATTAACACCATAAAAAAACAGAAAATTGGGTTACTTCGGCCACATCATCGGTAATGATAATACTAACTTCTACAGTTGATTCTACAGGACAAGATTGAGGGTAAGAGAGGTCCTGGACGTAGACATATATTACACATACAGTGGCGTAGATTGTGAGGAGGAACAAGAAAGTTACTTTTCCCTACAGCACGCCTCTGGTAACAGCGGAAAACTAACTTTTAACACTATTTAAAGTATCCTAGCATGTGTAAACTGTTTGTCAATTTGGAACAAAAAATATTGAAAGGTGTTAAAACAAAATGATCTAAAATCATTTTAGAATATTTGTAATAAAACAAATATTTTATTTAAGTGTTTTAGGTTAAATCCTCGTATTTTGTGCTAAGGTTTATTTATATATACTAGACTAAATATACATCTTTGCTCTACATATCATTCATAATACGTATACTTTCTCAAGATACGACCCTGATAATGTTTTAATATCATTAGTTTTCATTTAAAATCCCTTTTTTAGGCTACCTCTAAATGTTTTTTTATTTATATATAAACAAATTATACCTTTTGTTTTACCATTACATATATTTTTTAAGATAATTATAAATAATCCTCGTATAGTTCTTTATATATCGTATGAGTTTAACCATTACATTTTCAAAACATATATTTATGTACCTACCTTCAAGCGGTACACTGGTTTTTAAATGAAATACCAACTGTTCGAAACATCCGTTGATGTAAATATACTTATAAATATTCGTGAATTATGTAATACTGTTAGAAACACTTACGTTATTATGATCAATATCGCTAAAGTAGTGGACGTAATAGCAGGTATATGTTTAATTCTAAACTTCATTGTTCAAACTAGTAAAGTTTTTTGTGTCACACACTTCGGCACATAAATTATTGATGTCACTCAACACACTTTTCTATATTGCAACGGAAATTATATATAATCTTAGTTCAAAGTTTTTTGCGTAATAAATTGAAGGTTAAAATTCCTCTCTGAAAAAAACCTGTTTGTCAAACTTAATGAACGTATAATAAAAGTTAAAAATTGTTTTGTGTGTAGAAGAAAGTATGTACTCGTTAGGACGGTTTGTCCATCGGTTGTCGACAGGTCAGTACATACTAACGCTAACCTTTTACAAAATCTTGATAATTTACGATAACGGTCAGATTGAATGGCATAAATTATAATAAGTGAATGTATCATTTCCGATTTACACAGTAAAAATATTTAGATAAGCTCAGTTTCGGATACTGATTTATCTGGAAGTATAAAGCAGGTCTTTATCGAACTAATTAATTGATACTGATTTCGATAATTTTGTAAAAAAGTAATATATCAAACGGAACTACTATGCGGTTAAAGTCAAATAAGCCAAACTCTGAAAACATGAAAAATACATAATCTGAGTTTAAAAATAGGTGTTAGATAAAACGATATATTAAAAACATTAGAGTATAAATAAATCTTTATAAAAGATTTAATTATAAAAAACCACAAAAAGGTAAGTGGATTTAATATGTAATACTAAATAAAATATGAACTAAAGTAGAAGATTTAAATGAAGGGTCACATAAAATCTTAGTAATTGTAGGTGAAGACTTGTGTATTAAACAAATACTGCAGTCGTCAGAGACGAAAATGCCACAGAACCTCTAAAAATCATACTAACAAGCTAAATTTTGCTAAGAATGTCAATTTTGGGATCCCAGAAACTATGCAAAAGTGTTTACCACTCCTGTCATTGGCTTCCCTCTAACACCTCCCTCATAGGGGGTGTCAAAAAATTCGATGTAGGGGAAAGTGGGGATCATTCGGTACATTTGACTTGCGATCAAAATCTAAAATCTAGCTTTGTTCCACTTTTCAATGTTAATGGGGGATATTATTTTACACATATTTTATGTTACCAATTCACTAATTTTCTATAAGCAAATATAGAAAAATCGATTTATAGATTTTCTTACATATTACCGAATGATAGCCACCGGTGGGGAACATTCATCTATCATTCCTCAACCTCTTGCATCCACTGTTGGATATAGGTCTCCTCCATGTTCTTCCACTGTTCCCTATCTTGCGCCTTCTGTATCCAATTTCCGACTGTTTTTCTCAAGTCGTCCATCCATCTTTTTGGTGGTCTGCCTCGGTGTCTTTTGTCTTCTCTAGGTCTCCATTCTATGAGTCTTTTGGTCCACCTATTATCATTTAAACGTGCTATATGTCCAGCCATCTCCATTTGGCTTGTGCAATTTTTTCTATGACATCTGTCATTTTAGTCCTCTCTCTCACTATCCTACTTGGTACCATATCTCTTCTAGTTATTCCCAACATTGCTCTTTCCATTTTTCTTTGGAAACATTCATCTATATGTATATATAATTCGGCCCTTAGTCTGGTTTATTAAAAGTTGCTTATTTGATACAAAAAAAAACACATTAAAATAAGTAAACAAAGGTTTTTTATTACCATTACGTTAAACACCAAAATGGTAAGTAAACTAAAATTAATCGTCATTAATGTGGTCAAAAATTTATCTCACGTTCAAAGACGAAAAGTTAACATTGAACTTATACACATTCGAAGTTCTTAAAGTTCCTTTACTGATTGGGGTGGTTAACACTGCTGCAATATTTTTTTTTTTTTATAACTGAAATTTCATCAATATCAGGAAACAAAAACTGTTATTTACTTTTTTTGTAAGAATTTAACTACAAAATCGGCATCTTGTAGGGAGATGATTTTTTCTTTGTAATAAATTTCTAGTTTCTTAGGAACCACAAATCTGAAAAGTATAAAGGCATCTATAGAAACAGTATCCTTGTCAGAAATAAACTTCATATCCGGCAAAAAATCTTCGTCGGACGACTCATCTAATAAAAGATCGATACTCGATTTACTTGAACTGAATATATTTCTTTTGGCACTGTTTCTTACCAAATCTCTTTTAACTCATTTTTTCGCTTTTACTCTTTTTTTTTCCATTATTCTTCTAAAATTGGCCGGTTTTCATACTCAAGCGTGACAGTATATGTTGTTAACTTAGATTTTTGGTAATTACTTTTTTTTTTAATTTCGACATTTGCTTTTGGGAAGGGTCTGATTTTATCTGAACACACAGGACTTAAAGTAGAGGATACTGGAGCTGTCATTTCCTCGATAGTATGGTCTAGCATTTCTGTCGGAGCTGTTGTGGTTGATTACCTGTGAACGAGAGTATTTGGTTCCACAGAAAATCCAACAGAAGAATAAAATGACTCTTTAAGTTTTCTCCAAGAGGTGGTAGAGTTAGTTTTTTGAGAACAGAACCATCACCATTTTCAGTGAATGAATTAATTTTTTACTGATTCTCAGCTAGTGGTTTGTCGGTCACTTCGCTTCTTATAAAGTACACTTCGTTAATTATTTGGCGGTTTTAAAGGCCAAAGTCCAATATTTTTGAAGGGGCTTGTAATGTTTTTAATAGAAAAAGCACTTTCATATACACGTTTTGCCAGAGCATCTATATGACTAATTGTTATGACCTTAGCTGGATTTGTTAGCTGCCAGTCATGATGCGCAGCCGATAGATACATTTTAAAAGAGCCGTAGACTCAAACGTCCAAAGTCTGCAACCTGTGAGTGGAATGAGGGAGGAACGAGAGCAGTACGATTCCATTTTCTCGAAAAAGTCTTATTTCTTCCACAGAAATGTTGGATTCGTGGTTATCTACAAGTAGCAAAACTCTATTTTGTTGAGTACATTCTACGTGTCTGACGAAGTGTTTTATTACCTCAGGAGAAACTTTTGATGTCATCCATACCCTTTTGTTTCCAAAAGAAATAGCTGAGGCTGGATATTCATCTTTTAAGTATTATACTGGGTTTCTTATTCTAGGGAATACAAAAACGGGTGGAACTATTTCTCCAGCTACATTTACAATACCAACAAAAGTAATAAGTTCCCCCTCTATTTAAAAGATATATGAGCACCTTGCTCTTTACCCTTAGGAGCAACAATCATCGAGGCAGACTTCACTGTCGTCAAGTCAGTTTTATGTAAGTTCCATATTTCTTCCGGTCTAAACATGTACTTTTCAAGAATGGAGATGGAATGGAAGAATGTATTTGGAGAAAAAATCATCAACGACAGGTTTATTGAATGCCATTGCCCTGCTGATGCTTGTGTTCTCTGGTTTGCGTAAAGATATATCTTTTTTGTGCCTTTTGATAAAGCTTCTTAACCATTCAAGACCTAACAAAGGAACTTTTAATATAAAACAATTATTTTAATAATCGTATGGCACAAACCTGCGATCTTGTTAAGATTCCAAGATGTTGGCACCTAACATAGCGGTATGGAATTGGCATAATCGATGGCAAAACTTCGTATTTGCTTGTAGTTTAGCCCATAATTCAAATTAGAACATTTTTTATGTAAGATATAAATTGTTCTTTTTGAAGTGTTGTAAATATTTGTCTTGATGTATATTTGCTTAAAAACGACACATCCTAATCACTTTCCTTATCAGAATTCTCCCAGTCAGCCAGAATCTCTTCTTTTGATTTCTTCTTTAGAAGAATTTTTATAAGTGATTGTATTGTTAGTCATTTTTCACTATATTCTTGAGCAGCTTTATACTTACTAATTAAATAACTGCTTTATTAGATAGTTTCATTCTCTCTTCATTTATGTCACACCGGCTGGTCTTTTTAACATACTTTTTAGGTATCTATAATGAACAAATATTTGATTAAATATTTTAAATAATGTTTTATAGAAACATTTAAATAAACAAAATTATTATTTTTACATGGGAAACATTCGGCTACCAGCCGTACAATCCAGTTGTTCACCACCTTCACTTTAGACTTATTTTGTGCAGAAAAAATTAGGAGAAAAAGTATTTGAGGTTATGTTTTCCATAATCATATAGGCACAGTATAAATAACAACTGTTGTTGTTGTCTATACTGTGATATAGGTAACATAGCAGCCTAGTACGTATTACACAAATCAAAGATCTAAAACAAAAACGGTGCCTACGACACAAAAAATAAATTTATATAAAAACTTACGTATGCCCGAATGTAGACCTCTTTCCCCTACGCCGTAGAAAAGTATTTCAAATAAAAAATGTAACTAAGATTATTTTAAACAAAAATGTTTATTCGCACTTTTTGTATAGAATGAATCATTCTCTCAGAAGCAACGCTTGAAGTAACCGGTGATTTGGATGTTGGTTAGGCACGCGAAATCAATTTAAATAAAATGTGTATTAATTCGGCGGTAAATTCGAGACCTTTTGACCAGAGTGTCCTATCGACAAAAATTCAAAAGGCGTTTTAAAGGTGAAGAGCAACTTGCTTATGCAATTTTGGTATTTTGCTACAGACGAAATCAGTTTTTATTTATAAAGATGCTAAATTACTGCCCATCTCAGCAAAAAACTTTAGGGCCAGCATAGTACTAGGTTATACACCAAAGATTTGGACAACTCTAAGGGAGGTGAACACATACATAAAATAGAACGAAAAGACAACGCCCTACTTAAATCCTATAGACTATCAGTCTGTGTCATACCTGTATAGATTTTGTGACATAAACTAGTAGTTTGTTACTGGTTTATGATTTCAATGCAAGAGATAAAAAATATTACATAAATTATATTTTACCGAAAAATACATATTTTTAACATTAATAAAAATCTCGAAAAATTGACAAAAAACAAATGAAATAATGCAAAAGTGTGGCAACAAATTTTGTATTCATTGCAGTTAAGTTTAAAACATTAGTATCTCCAGACCCAGACGAATTTTATAATAAGTAAACTGCATATGTTTCATTTTTGATATGTTAAAGGTTAT